GAACTTCAGATACACAGAATCATATGGTACCTATGCTTTTAATTTCAGATCTGGTTCATTTTGCCCAGCATACTGTCTGTGAAATTCATCCACATTGTTGTGGACATTGAGTTTGTTAATTTTCCTGGTCGGGCAGTAGTCCAGTCGATGAATACACCGTGATTTATTTATCCATTGTCATGTTATTGGCATCATCTTGTGATCCCTCTTCTCATAGACTTCACATTTCAGGTCCCCCAAACCACAGGACACCCCCAAATACCTCCACTCCTCCATGCCTACGTATGTAGCGTTTCCTCTGCCCTTACAGGTAACAGCATGTGTGAGAATGCTGATGACCACAGTCCACTGTGACAAAGCTAAACGCAGAGTGTTTGGGGAGCACGAATAAGCACCTGGCTAAACCCGGGGCTGTTCAGGGAGGCACCATTATCACAGGGCCTAGATTGATAGTACAGGACGTAGGACAGATGGCGGGGAGTGGGGGCCTGAAACCCTGGCTGGAGTGCCCTTGTCCTGGGACTTCTATCACCTGCACATCTTGACATGTATTTGGAAGGGGCCCGTGGGCTCTGAGCCTCTGAGCCTCTGAGGCTGTTCTGTGTGACCCACATGTTCCGGAGGCTGACTCAGAGGCCGGTGAGGCTCAGTGACCCACCCAGCAAAAGAGAGTTGGGAGTGCAAGCTGGAGGTCTGCCTGTGGTCACTAGGAATGACAGGGCTGGGGCTGTCCTGTGTGTGTGTGTGTGTAGGTCTCAGTGGACAGGTTACCTCTGAACATGGCTGGGGCACTTGCCAGGCAGGCCAAAGCCAGACTCAGTGAGGTACTGCTGCTATGTAAACATCAAGGGAGATGTAGCCCCTGGAGGGGCCTGGGAGGGGAAGGGAGCCCTGCAGGAGCTGGTGCTGCCCTCCCCGGCTCGCTGCTCGAGTCTCAGGGCAGTCATGTGGTGTCTCAGGCTCATGGAGACACCGTGCCTGCCTCCACTTACCCCGCAGGTGCTCCTCACAGAGAAACAGAGATGTGGGGGATGACCCCCAGTCCCTCTCTGGGCCCTGAAGGATTTTAGGTGCCCCAAGTCTGGGTGCCAGTCTTTCCTGCCCAGCATCTTGGGCCCCAGAGGCCCCAAGGCTCAGCACACCTCATCTGTGTCCCTCTCTGCTGCAGCTCTGGCTTGACTGGCATTTCAGGTTTATAGTTGATGGTTCAGGACCCTGTGCCAGTGTCCCTCTGGGTCCCTGGGCCCCCTTCCTAAGGCTCTCAGTATCCTCTGACCTTTGGGGGCTGCTCACTGGCTATGCGGTGGCTGGGGCTCCACCCTCCGCTTGGAGTGTGTGGGGGTGTTGGGGGGCACCTTGGGTCTGCTCGACAATCCCCAGATTGTGGCCCTACTGAGTGCCTTCATGGGAACCTAGGGCCTGGGAGGAGGGAGGTACCACTCTGCCTGTCTGCCCCCTTTTTTGCCTCCTGGTTCTTTCAAAATGGGTGCTCCCCAAAGCTCCTTCCCCAGCCCTCTCTTCTCTTTGTTCCTCTGTCCTCTTCCTGGGAGACTGTACCCCACACTCCTGCTTCTGCAACTGTATCCATCCCTGGCCCCCTTATCTAAGTTCCCAACATCTTTCACCTGTAAGCACCTACTGGTACCTCCCATCAAAATATGCCAGTCCCTTGCATTCCACATTTCCCCTCAAAAAGTTGCTGCTCAGAATGATCCCTATTCCTCCAAAGATGCCTCTCTCCTCCCAGACCTGGGCCCAGAGCTGGGGGGGGAGGGTGTGTCAGGACCTCCTGGTCCCCTCTCCCTCCTGCACAGCCCTCAGGCCGCTCCTGCATCCACCACAGCCTCTGCCCTCCCGTCTTGCTGCTGCCCTCACCCTCTGAGCCCCATCACGGCAGATCCGAATACTCCGTGTCCCTGCTTGGGCTCTGTCCTGCTTGCTCATTACTGCCAGATTCCACTCAGTCAGTGGCCCTGGGCTTGGTTCCAGGATGCGGTGAGATGCCCTGGGAGGCTGGGCACAGCACAGACTGGTAGGAAGGAGGAGGCAGGGCGGGGTGTTCCCACGCCGGGTGAGGAGCAGCAGCGATGGAGGGACTGAGAAAGAGCAGCATGTGCCGCAAGGGCAGAGGCCATGGGCGGTTAGGGATGACTTTCTGAAAGAGGGAGACACGGGCTCTCAACCTCAAAGACCAGTAGCCTTTTGTGGTGTTGATTGTAACCATGAAAAACTGGAAAAGCTGAGCAGGAGACTGCATCAACACACCCTGGAACACGCGTGAACGGAACACTGGCTGCTGCTGGAACGAACTAGAATGGACAAACCTCCACGACAAAACGCTGGGTGGAAAAGGCAATGTGAAGACTGATATGTGTGGCGTGGTGCCATTTGTAGAGATCTGAAGGACACACTGAACAATACCGTTTATTATTATGGATTCAGGTGTTTGTGGTAAGAGAATAAACCGACGTGTGGGAGTGATAAACACTGGATTTGCCTCTCAGGAGGGAGAGAGAAAATGACAAAAGGACAGGAGGAGGGGACTCCGTTGTGTCTGTGCTCTATTTCTTTGAAAAGAGGGAGAAAAGAATCTGAGGCCGATATGGTGAAATGTTATCATCTGTTCAATATGGGTGATTAAAGATAGACGGACAAGTGATATATTATTTTCTCCTTCTCTGGACATTATTCTGTAACTCAAATTTTTAAAAGAAGTTAAAAGAATATAATAGGAAGTGGTGGCATGCTATACCCTCCTCGATCATTCCCGACACGGGGCCGGGGTGAACCAGGGAGCAGGGAGGCGGCTGAGGGCCCCTGGAACAGGTCACAGCTGGGGTTGGTGGGTGGGGAAAGGAACCTGGGTGGTAGGCTCTAGATCCTGGGTGCGTGGGTTTCTAAAGAAGTGGACACACCGACTTTCTCCTGCCTGCCTATTGGCCACCTCCCGCTCCACCCGTCCCCCCTCCTCCCCCAGCAGCCTCTGGCTGGCTGATTTTCAAGTTGGTGATTTATTTCATTCCTTACCATGTATTTATGGAGCATCTGCTATAAAAGCAACAGCTCAGACTGCACTCACCATGTACCAGAATTATACTCACACATAGTATCTCCCTGAGGTCTCACCCCAGCCCTGCAGGTGGGTATGACTACCATCACTGCCATCCCTATCTTACAGATGAGGAGACAGAGGCAGAGAGGCTCAGGGATTTGCCAGAAGTTACACAACTAGGAAGGGGTGGAGCTGGGACTTGAACCCAGGCTCTGGCACCAGAGGCTGTGGTCCTCTCGGCTATGCTCTGTTGCTCCTCATGTGCCGGGCACCGTGCTGGGCACTGGTGACGACATAGCTGATCCAGCCCTGCCCTCACAGAGCTGCTGGGTCAGTGGGGGGAATCACACACCAAATTAAGCAACATATACATGTGATGACAGTTAAGGAGCCAGTAAAAGAAAACTTCGTGCCAGAGGGAGAGAATACAAAATACATACTGAAATTGAAGGAAGAGAAGAGGGAAGGCCGCTTTGAAGTGGGGACATTTATACTGAGACTTACAGGATGGGGAGGTAGCCAGGAGGAGCTGGGGAGGGCGGGCCAGACAAAGGGAAGAGCAAGTGCAAGGGCATGAGCTTGGCGTTGGCAAGAAACCAGAAGAGGGTCAGAAGGGCCTGTGCGTGCAGTGAGCAAGGGGCAGGTGGCAAAGCCATGGGGTCAGACGGGAGGTGGCCCATCACTCAGGCCCTTCCTTACAGGAGGGGGACCACATGTCACAGTTCTGGTCTGTGCCTGCTGTCCCAGTGTAAAGATTCATAATGTCTCATTTGGGTCCGGACATAACAAACTCGATGGTCACCCTATCGCAGGTCGTGGTGCAGAGTTCGGATTTTGCTCCCAGGACAGTAGAAAAGCATTGAGGGGTTTTAGAAGAGAGCGACACTTGAATTTATAATGCATAAAGGTCACTCTGACTCCTGTGTGGAGAGGGCCTGCAGGGAGCAGGAGGAGGCCACTGTCTCTGTCCTGACTCAGCTGCAGTGTGGAAGGAGCAAGGCCTGGGAAAGGCAGGGAGATCCGGTTTCGGCCAACTGAAGTCGCAGCCGTGGGTGAAGTGACTCCGGGCAAACGCATCCCCAGAGCTGCTGTTCCCCTTGTCCTTCCTGTGCCTACTCAGTCCCAAGGCTCCCAGGAGGGGCCTTAAGGAGTGGGAAGAAGCCCCTGAGGGCAGCTGTCCACCTCTCAGGACTACAGGGAAGCTGGTGAAAGAAATAGCCAAGTTCTCTGGAAGGGGTAAAGGCCTCAGTAAATTTAAAAATCGACGACGAACAATATTAACTTTCCATTTGATAGAATGCCCTTTCCCTTTCCTTCTCAGCCCCACACAGCCCCCCACCGCCAAGAGGAGATTTCAGAAGTGAGAGCCCAGGGGGCATTCACAGATACCAGCTAGGGAGGGTCTCCCAGGGAGGCCAGCTTCCAAACCGAATGGGTGCTGGGAGAAAGCAGGTGGCTTCCGGTGCCTGCTGATGTGCACGCTGACTGGCCCACGAATGAAGGTAGGCCCACTCACCCTGGCACCACCTCTGGGGGTTGGCATTTGTATCTGGGGGTACAGGGAAGGGGGATATGTGGACAAGCACATACACTGCTCACAGCATGCTACGGGCAGATGCCAGCACAGATTTCCAGTTACCTTTTATATTTAGAGGAGGTGGGAGCAGAAAACAAGCGAAGAGCTTGTAATGGCAGTGAAGAGTGGGAAGGCCAGGAAAGTTAGAAGTCCATAAAACAAATCCTGCAAGCATGAGGAGCCTCTCAGTTGTCTTCCTGCAAAACAGCACATGCGCGCATGCCTAAGAGACCAGGCAGGTTATCAAGTAAACCTTCGCTCAGGTGGAGAGTCACCCTCCACTTGGGAGGGCCATCCGAGTCCGGTGCCAGGAAGGGACAGCCACAGGCTCAGGGTGGAAGGGAAGAGGCTGATGGGAGAAGGGTCACTCACCCAGTGGCAGGACGAAGAAAAAGGGGAACCAGCAGAGCACAAAGACTCCCACGACGATGGCCAGAGTCTTGGCCGCCTTCTTCTCGCGGGAGAACTTGAGCAGGCGCACGGACAGTGAGCTGCGGAAGGTGTGGCCCTTGGCGCTGCGCCTCCTGCCACGGGCCGCGTCCGAGCCGGTGCTTGCGCTGCGACAGTGGATGCGCAGCACCACCTCCGAGGCCTTGCCCCGCTCGCGCTTGACACCAGCCTCCAGGCTGCGCGTGGTGCTTCGCGCAACCACGTACACGCGGCAGTACATGACCACGATGACGGCCATGGGCAGGTAGAAAGAGCACAGGGAGGAGAAGACGGCGTAGCCCACCTCCTCCGTGATGCCGCAGAAGCGCTCGTCCGGGGGCACCGGCTCCTTCCAGCCCAGCAGCGGCCCCACGGATACCACGAGGGCTATGGCCCAGAGCAGCGCCAGGATGGCGGCCGCCTTGCGCTCGGTCATGATGGAGGGGTACTTGAGCGAGTGGCGCACGCCCACGTACCGGTCCACCGAGATGGTGCAGAGGCTGAGGATGGAGGCTGTGCAGCAGAGCACGTCCACGGCGGCCCACACGTCGCAGAAAGCCCGGCCGAAGGCCCAGAAGCCCAGGACCTCCATGGTGGCTGAGAAGGGGAGCACCGTGGTGCTCAGCAGCAGGTCGGCCACGGCCAGATTCACAATGAAATAGTTGGTGACCGTCTGTAAATGGCGGTTGCAGGCCACGGAGAGGATGACCAGCAGGTTGCCTGCCACCGCGGTGAGGATGAAGGCGGCCAGGAAGACTCCCACGCCCACGCCCTGCGCACTCACCACCAGCCCCCCGAGGCCGCCGTGCCGTTCACCTCGCCGCCAGCGCCGGCGCCCC